ACAGAAGAGAAGATGATGGATGGAATAGATGAGATATATCGAGTTTTTACAAGATATGCGATGAGAAATAATCTGCCCAGAGAAGTCCATATTAGATTTACTAAAAAATCCATGAAGACACAAATATTACAAGTGGCAAGAGAGAAGATATTGAAATACAAAGGTAAAGAAATTTTGGTTTTAAAACAAATACCTAGAAGAGTGAGAGAGATGAGAAGAGAATATCGATTCCTGACCAAAATGTTATTGAAAAAGGAGGTGACTTACAGATGGCTGATCCCAGAAGGATTGATGTTTACGTGGCAGGAACAGAGACATAGAATTGATTCAATTGAGAAAGCAGAACTGTTCTACGCAGAAGTTTTTGGAGAGAGAGAAGGAGAGGCAGAAAAGGAGGTTCCATTAACTGAATCCCAAGAGGAACAAATGGAGATTGGAAAAGAAGAAGGTGCAGTAGGTGGACAAGTGGATATTAAAGATCAGCGTGAATCAAGACCCACGAGAGTGGTTAAATCTAAATATAAAATATAATCATGGAAGAGAAAAAATTGATTACAATGAATATAAATGGACTGAATTCAGCTGCTAAGAGAAGGAAGATTTTCCATAAATTAAGGAAACTAAAGTTTGATATAATTTGTCTACAAGAAGTACATATTAAAAAGCAACACGAACAATTGTTATTACAACCAAAATTAGGGAAATTGTTTACCTCTTTGACTCAATGTAAGAAAAGAGGGGTGGTCTTATATATTAAAGAGGCTATCCCAGCAAAAATGATTTATACAGATGAAGATGGGAGAATATTAATGGTGGAAATAATGGACAATAATAGAAAGATACTTTTGACTGCAATTTATGCCCTGAATGATAAACAGGAAGAATTCTATAAAAAATTACATACCAAGATGGCTGGACTGGACTATGCTAATATAATTATGATGGGAGACTTTAATGGAATTGTGGATAATAAACTTGATTATATTGCAACAGCAGCAAAGTATAATAGAAAAACTCTTCCTAAATCTTTTTTTTTAAATGACAGATGAATTAACTTTAAAAGACATATGGAGAGAAAGAAATATTAAACTTAAGCAATATACGTTCTATTCAAATAGACATTTATCATGGTCCAGACTTGACATGATTTGGATCTCAACAGACTTAATATCTAGTATTCAAGAAGTAAATATTGAAACAAGTACTTGGGCTGATCATAACCCATTGACAATTAAATGGAAGGGACAAAAAAAAAGATCGAGATGGACATTAAACAATACTATTTTAAAGGAGAAAGAATTTATACAATGGATGGAGAAAGAATTGGCTTTTTTTTTTAAAGAGAATAGAAAAGAAGACACTTCAATACAGAATGTTTGTCAGCCTCAAGATCTCTTCGGGTACCCCAACTACTATGCTTTATTTCTCCCTTAGTATCTCTACTACTAGGCTTACTTCTTTCGGCTGTCATTAGCAACGGGGGGGAGGAGTAATTGTGGGGGGGAAGAGAGCTGGAGGTGTTTTGCATTCTTTTACTGTGGGCAGAAGAAGGGGGGGGATTTCTTCTTTCCAACTTTCCATTTCCTTGCTAGCTTCTATCCTTTTTTGCGCAGCTGCGAGGTCTTATCAAAATATGTCAAGGTCAATGGACAGAGGCCTCATCACTACCTGAAGATGCTCACATGATCATATTCGGAACTTTTAATTGGCAGAGACTTCTGGACTTTGGGGGGTGGGAACAATTCCATTTCTTTGTATGTGTGATCTGCGCGCCAAATTCTCACTTTCGGAATTCCATTTGTAGCTTCCTTTTCATCTTCCAGTAAAAGAAGAACTTTGCTCTGAACAATGGAGTCTGAGTATTTCTTTCTTGGATTTTGAAAGGAGCACACATTGACAGTTTGGGATACAATGAAGGCTTATGCTAGAGGCTTGATAATAGACTATACAAGAAAAAAGAATATTAGGAAAAGGCAAACATTTAGTACTATTCTTAAATTATTCCTAATTTGTCTATTGGGAAGAAATCCATTTTGATCTTTATGTATATATTCATTCAATTTTTTAAAATCTATTTGCTATAATTGTGGTAAATATTTTATAATCAGTATTTAACAGGGAAATTGGTCTATAATTTTGTATAAGTCGTAAGTCTGAATCTTCTTTTGGGATCAATGATATCAGTGTCACCTTCCATTAATCCGGCATTCTTGCTACAAGTAGGACCTCATTATATACTTCCACCATGAGAGGTCCTATTTGTTCTCCTATTTTCTTATAGAGTTCCCCTGGTATCCCATCAGGTCCTGGGGTTTTATTGTTCTTTTGGTTTTCTATTGCTGTTTTTAACTCAGGCTATGTAATGTCTCTAGTTAACATTTCCTTCATCTCTTCCTTGATTATTTTATCTTTAGTAATACCCAAATGGTTTCTTATCATGTCCTCCTTTACCTCCTTCTTTTTATAAAGATCTTCAAAAAATTTACATGCAAGGGCATTTTGCAAATTTTGCTTTGCTTGCCCTTAAATTACAACAAGAGGTACATTTCAGAGAAACTGAGCTAATTAGATTTAAACATGGACCTATAAACCCACAGGTTTATGTCCCTAGTCAGTTCTGGATTTAGCAAGGAGCATATTTGTCAGAAAAATATGTGTGATGCTTTTCCCCACGAAGAGGCATCCAACCCAAATACAGGTCATTATGGTCTCTGTATCCAAGATTCCCTGGAGTAATGAATTCATATAAATGAAATCAATTGTTACAAAGATGCTGTTAGCATAGTAAGCTGAGCACAGTTGTTTCACAGTATTTTGGATATGCAATTGGAATATCATATCACAGTTTTTGGAAGCTTCTTTCCTTCACCTTTGGGGTCCTGCAGCTGAAGACCATATAATCTCCCCCCTTTGGATGTACAACATATAGTCTTAATAAAATTGTCCAACTATGATACATTCTTGGACTTCATTTTTTCAGTCTATAATTTCCTCACTTGCATTCCATCCACAGCATGTCCTCAGTTCATATTTAGTGGACATTGGTCTACATCAATCTTATTCAAGGGAAAACTAATGGTCCTAAATTAAATGAGTTTTTTTTATCTAAGTTCAGTCTCCAGTGAACAGAAAAGCACTTATCAGAAAAGCACTGCACATAAATCATCATAATTCTTTGGAAAAAGTCCTGCTGGACTGAAAGAGAGAACATATGGATTCAATATATGGGCTTGGCGAATGTTGTTCTTTTTCTTTGATTGGTCCAAGAAAAAAGATGTATTTCACATAACATGCTGAAAATACTATATTATACTGATACACTAGCCAATTATTATTTTTAAAATGAACAAAACAAAATATGCCAAAGCACGGTAGCTTCATTGAAAAACAACTGAATGGTACGTATAATTCTTCTTACATATGCAGTTTTATTCTGATTTTAATCATACCCAAATCTCGTCAGACAATCAATAGATACTATTACTATCAGTCCCCCGAGGGCTACAGTCAACAGTAACATTGATAGTCACATTGTTCACATATTTGCAATTCACATATTGACTCAAAACACTAAGGAAGGATTTAATTTCTGTTGATTCCTATTTAACAGAACTCGATGTACCAATAGAAAAGAGTTTTTGTAGCTTAGGGTTGAACTATGGAGTCCTTGGTTGCTCTCTAGAATAGGTAACATCATCAATGCTAGCAGTTTGGTAATAAAATATATGCAAGAAAACAACTAAATTCAGAGAGCACCAAGGACTCCACAGAACTTGATACACACAATTGTGCTTTATGCAATAATTTTTTTCACCAAAACATCTAAGTATAAATATTTAGAGTGGTGCAGTGGCCTATAGGTAGAGCTCTTGCCTCACAATCAGGAGTCTGTGAGTTTGATCTGAAGTAGAGGCAGATATTTCTCTCTTTGGGCATGATGAGAATATATCTGCTGAACATAACTCCACATTGGTGACAGGAAGGGCTTCCGGCCAGTAATCACTCAGCTCCATTCAACTGCCCAGACTCCACCCCTCAAGGTATTATGGAGTCAGTGAAAGATGATGATTAGCTAAGTGTAAATATTTAGTTCAGACTTTGTCTCATCTCCATTAGCTTTGTATTCAGAACAAAAAAACATCCATTATACTGTACATGAATATATGCTATGTAGAGGTTTATATAAGAGTGTAATTTGATAATTTAAGTTTCCATTATGTAGAGTTTCAAAGGTTAAAATCAATACTTTGAACTGAATTTAGAGCTGGATTTTGAGTTGTTCCTGCAGTGAAATAAAACATTCCCTTCATGAAATTCAGTTCATTTTAATCTGTCATAAATTAGAGGACAAATAGGTTATGGTAATAATATGACATTATTTGATTATATGATAACAGAGTGGAACTGCAAGGAGGAAAAAATCCATCTCCTTTACCAGCCCCTGCATGTTCTTTAGAGTATGATTTCTCCAAGGGAAATATTTATGTAAAGCAGTTATAAAAGTTCCAGCAATAATACCCTATACAAGAGAACATCAATGCTGGTTTTCAATCACTGTTGCTTGGAAGAAGAGAGAGAATGTAGCTATTATCAGGTCAGGTTGATTGATTGATTGACATACTGCATAATGGAGCATATTATGGTGAGTTATAACCCTTATGCATACAGACACTCACACAGAGATGTCTGTTGAAGCCAGCCCCTAGCTACAAGAGACTGCAGGAAGTCTCTGGCCAGTATTAAGTGATGTATAGAACCTACAGTTCATGTGACACTTTTTTCCACATGAATACCATATGTTTACAATAGAATTTGCTGATAGCTAACAAGGCTTTCATTTTTGCTAACCACTGAAAGGAAGATATATTTTTTTTTAAATGAAGAATGAATGTTTAAGAGAAACAATATTGGGAATGTAATTACCAAATCCAGATCTAGTACAGTGCATGGCTAGGTCACCGCACGGAGCTTGAGGAGTGTTAATTAAAAATGAATCTCACCTCAGCGATGGTCTCACTCAGCCACTTAAAGAACTTTCCTGTCCCTCCCCATCCCTAATGCTCTCGTAACTGAAAGAGCAACAACAAAAAGGGACTTAATACTATCAATCTGTTTTGATAAATTGTTGTAAAAAGAAAGAGAAAAGAGCCACACTGATTACTCTAAATGTTAGATAGTAATATAAGAGCAAGTGTGTTATATCAGAGTAGGAATGGTGGGCCTTGTTTCAAGAATGCTCTCAGTCATTGAAACTTTCTTTTAGCTGAATATGCCCCTCAGGGTTGATATTGTAGGGGTAAAATCAGAGATATCCCTATGTATCCTGTCTTGAGCTCCTGGAAGTAGTTAGATGTATAAATATATACATATAAACCCTGGAGGTAATTTTATGACCCACATCTTGATTTCTTTGCCATTTGTTTCTTGAAAAGAAAATGTGCCTTGCTCCAAAGAGGAAGAATATGTTATTTGCTCTCATGGCCATATGTTTTTTGGTTGTTTTTTTTGAACAATCATTTTACATATAAAAAGGGAGGAAAATGGAAGATAGCAGGCTTAGAAAGGTCAAAGAAATAAAAGACATTTCTTATATAATAATCAGAACTAGACTTACATGTACTGTATTTTCATATTATCTTACACAGATGTGTTTCTCTAGCTTTGAGACAATTTACAAAATGCATTTATGATTGTCACAATTTCTCCACAATCATGTGATCAAAACGTGGACATTTGGTCACCAGCATGTATTTATGAAAAAGTCAGTATCCTGAGATCACATGATCACCATTTGCAACCTTATTGGTTGGCTTTTAGCAAGCAAAATCAATGGGGAAAGATAAATTCACTTAATAACTGTGTATTCATTTAACAATTGTGGTGAGTCACTTAATAACCACAGCAAAAAAGATTGCAAAAATAGGGCACAACTCACTTAACAACCACCTCACTTAGCAACATAAGTTTCTGTCCCAATTGTGGTTGTTAGTCAAGGACTACCTGCATTTCATTTTTCTTTTCTATTGATCTCTGCATTGGTTATCAGTAGGAGATGACCAGGCTGAGCTTGAGGGACAGGTCAAATGCATCATCAATCATGAGTCCCCCTGTGCTCACAAGAGATCTATATCCAGCCCACCTTAATTCCTTCTACTCTTATCTCCCTCTAATTTCCCTTGACTGTTAGTAGTTCAGATTCTTGTAGAGATTTTAAGATTGCAATAAAACTTTACACCCATTTGAACTGTTTGGATCTCCTGATTTTCCTGGTGCTTGATATTACTTACTGCATGTAATAATATGGATAGCCTCTTACCAACAAAGCATTGTTTGATGCCCAGCAAAGCCATTACGAAAAAATTCCTTCTTGCAAAATGCATTCTTCTTGGCTCATTTAGAAACTAGGATTAGATCAGTCAATTTTTTGCTATTTGAACATTAGTCTTCATCCAACAATCTGATTGACCAGATGTAGAAACTCTTTCTTTCTTTCTTTCTTTCTTTCTTTCTTTCTTTCTTTCTTTCTTTCTTTCTTTCTTTCTTTCTTCCTTCCTTCCTTCCTTCCTTCCTTCCTTCCTTCCTTCTTTCCTTCTTTCTTTCTTTCTTTCTTTTCTTTCTCTTTCTCCCTCTCTTTCTCCCTCCATCCCTCCCTTCCTCCCCCACCCTCTGCATTAGAACAGTCCTTCTTGAACCTTGGCTTAGAATGGTGTTGTTGTTTTGGGGTGTATGGTTGCAACCAGTTTAGACTACTATTTTGTATCATAAAGTCACAGAGATGTTTTAGAATTTAAACCCTGAAAAATATAAACAAGTAAGTTCCTTCCTTCCTTCCTTCCTTCCTTCCTTCCTTCCTTCCTTCCTTCCTTCCTTCCTTCCTTCCTTCCTTTCTTTCTCTCGCAGGAGCACTGTTAAAAGGTTGGCACTTTTTAAATTATATTTTTTTATACAGCTTTTAAATTAGCAAAATAAGCAAAATAAAATTGAGCTAGTTCAGATTTGGTGTGAAATCTTTTACCGCAAGACATTTAGACTATTTGAAAGGTTGTGAAACCCTTCTGTTGCAAGTGACAGGAAAAACAATGAAATGGTTTATTGCTGGACCTGTTTTCTTTATTTAAAAAAACCAGTAAAGTTGATACCACAAGGAAAGAAAAATGGGATTTTTTTCTTAATAGCTCTGCAAGGAGGTAGCCATTGATCCTGGTGACATTGGTTTGTTTGTTTTTAAGTTTTACAGCAGAAGAAAGGCAAGGCCTGTAGTGAACCAAAGACAGAGAAAAAAATCCTAAGTACCAATAAAGGAGTTTTTATTTATGGCCAATACATTTTGCAAAATGTGTCCATTTCTCAAAGGTCCTTCTAGAATATCTGTAAAACTATAGATACTTTCTAGTACAACTGTTACAATCGCTGCACCTTGATGCATTATTGCCTTACCTGATGGTAACTGTGTTTTATACACAATTCTAATTCCCTAATCTACTATCAAGTTTAGATTTAGATGTGATTTTAATTCCACCAGTATGTGTTTGGAACTTGCTTTAGTTCTGTAACAACAAAAAAATACCACCTTGTCAGTGGATTTGGGGAGATCACATTTTTCTTAGCACTTTGTTCAGAAAAGCATACATCATGTCTCATATATATGGCTTTAGTTTATATATAACACACATATACATATACACATACACACACACACACAAACACGCATATATATATATTACAATTAAATATGTAAATAAGTATACTTTGTGACAACTTTTTATTGTTTTCATCTCAGTTTTGATATAATAGGAATCCAAAGGAAAACAAGATAGTGCACGAATATCCAAAAGGATAAGCTTAATATTCTCAATATCACTATTCTAACATAGAACTCTAATTATATTTTTCAAAATGGGGTGTAGGGAGCTCATTTTGCATCTCAAAGAACCCAATAACATCCTAACCTTCCCCTTCCAAAAATCATGCATACAAAATCTCTGGAATTTGTATTTTTCCATTATAAACTGCACAGACTTTATGATTCTTAATTTAATGCATTTTAAGGAATTGTTGACATTAGATATTATTGCTCAATTGTTGGCTATAGATCAACACGCATTTTGTGGGAAGAAAGCTTTCAATATTTTTTAAAAAATAATTTAGAAGTGTATACATCCTAATACTATCTTATAGGTCTTTACAGCTTATCTTCCTGAAGTAATGCATAATTTATGTGTTTAAAATAAAAGTGATTTGTATTATGGAAAAGCTTTAGTGTTCATCACTAATGGCTGAGTTATCAGTACTGTTTAAATTATCTAGGTTAACTGGATTATTCTCAGGAACTTTCTGATCCTTATTCTTTTCCTTTTATTCTTAATCTTGATTAAATTTATATGCTGCTGACTTTCAGCAGAAGAAAGAAAAGGGGAAAAAGGAGTGTCAAGTGTCCTCACCAAAGGCCTAGTGAACAGCTTGGTTTTCAGGCCCTTCAAAACATCAGCAGGGTGGGGCCTAGCTGGATCTTTCATTCCGAAGCACGCATGTGTGCACAAAATGTAAAATCACCAAACCGGTAGTTACACCAGTCAGATCCCACTCCTGGTGTGAAGTTTCTTGGCATAGAGGTGTTACAGATCCTTGTGTTTAGCAAAATTATCTGACAAGGATGTCCATACTATAGGATATTAGAAGGACATTAAAAGGAAGTGAAACTCTTTCTCTGTGTGTATATGTGTGTGTGTGATTTAAATACCATATACATTCAACAATAGACTTGAGGTAGCTATGCTATATTCAGCTACCAGACTACCATATGTAGAAAAAATATAATTCTTTAGACTTTCTTGTTTCAAAGTACAAAAGAATTGCACATGCTTACGGATATATAACAGAGCGTATGGGTCTGTACTGCTTTATATAACAATGGCTGCACTGAATTTGCAATAGCACCATTTCTATTTACTTTAAATGAGCTCCTTGTATCCTATTGAAACATCCATGCAAGAAAAGTTTTACTGTTTAAACAGATAAATTATTTCCCATTTCAGATTACTCTATTTCAGTCACATAAATTCCATTTTCCAATGCTTGCTTTCTTGTATGCTTTGAAATGCCTATTTGCTATAATTGTTCCATGAGCTCTGAAATCTAATATATATGTTGATCCATTATTTGAACTATCCCTTAGGCAACATTTTATTTACTTTGTTAGAAGTAGCCATTTGATAAATTGCAATTCAATCTTTTTGACGTTCCTTTGAATTTGGAAAAATGTGTGTCCTGAGCAGACTTGTCAGGCGATTTCAGATGGATTTGAATTGCTCTAAAAATTCAACAGTTGAGCATTCCCTGAAGTTAGGCATTAGACAGGATAACTCTATAATACACACTGTATAACCATTATTCAGTTACTCAGCTGTTGCTTTGTAAAGTATATCAAACTTGGATTCAAATTTAATTTCTTCTTAGACAAACTAACAAATCAGAATTATCACATTGCCAAGTTAATTTGTGAATATTAATCCAATTCAGATATATAGACACAATCCTAAAAAGCTTTTGGTATGTATGTATAGATGCCCAAAATCTGAGTTTCTATATGAATATCAGGGTCTTATTATTTCATCTCTATAGGATCTTTCATATTAGAATAGATTTTTTAGTAGTGTGGACAATTGAATTTATGATTTATATTATCCTTACTATCATATATTAATTTAGTTTAGTTTAGTTTAGTTTATTGTCATTGCACCTTGTACAACGAAATCAAACACCATCTTCAGTGCACATCATGACCATGACCATGCAAATAAACACATCCTTCACCCTTCACACCAGTGGTGGGATTCAAATTTTGTTTACTATTGGTTCTAGGGTGTGACTTGCTGGGTGTGGCAGGGGAAGGATACTGTAAAATCTCTAGTCAGAGGTGGCATTTGCTGGTTCTCCAAACTGGTCAGAACCTGCTGAATACCACTACTGCTTCACACATTGAAGTGGAAACCCCCGACACCACACCAACACTGCACTATACAGCAGAAATTCAAAAAAGGGAAAGGAAGAAAAGAGGCTACCAGTTTTGCTACAAAAGCAAAATCAAATTTAGGCTGCATTAATATAATTTGTAAATGAATAGAAATAAAGATTTAACTACAGTCTACATTAATCAGATCAAACATTGAGTACTTTATCCAATTTTAGGAGCCAATGGTAGGAAAATCTACAACAAATTGGAACAGATGCAGAAAAGGGCAGCACAATTGATCAGGGGACTGAAAACTAAACCTTAAAAATAGTGGTGCGAGTCAATCGGTATAACAACTGGTTTGGTGAGCGCGCGCGCATGTGCCGAATACATGCTTTGCGTGTGTGCTCTACATTTTTTAAAGACCATTTTCAAATTAATTAATTACCTTCTACTGAAGACCCTGGGACTAAAATAGCTGAGACTTGGCAAACTGCTCTGCTGGGTGTGCTAAAAAAAATCCAGGAAATAAAGCACAGGAAAGTACAGGGGCAGGTGGGTGGGGCCAAATGCTTACCGGAACTACCAATTCTCCCAAACTGGTCCAAACTGGTCCAAACTGATCGAATCCCACCCCTGCTTTTTAAAAAAAAGATTTAGGAACTTGGCATATTTAACCTTGAGAAAACTGGAGCAGGGCATATGAAAGCACTTTTCAAGTACTTGAAAGAGAAGGGAGAGAATCACACAAAAGAAGATCAAGACCTGTTTGTTATCTCCCTTGATTGAATAACATGAAACAATAGACTTAAATTACAAGAAGGCAAATTCTAGTTGAATGTTGCTTCCTAAATGTAAAGAAAATTTAAATAAGTTAAACTATTAGTGAGGGGTTGATGATCTTCTCATGGAAAAAGCAGAGCTTGACAAACCATCTTTTGAGGATTCTTTAACTTGTATTCCCAGACTTGACAAACTTATGAAATTATAATTTTATGAATCCATGAATCACCTCTTACACTGAAAGAGTATGTTGCTATAGTATTTCAAAGATAATCAGAATGTTCTTTCATATGTTCTGCTCTAGTGATTTTTCTCCATGACCTGATATAATCTGAGTCATGAGTTCAGATAGAAAGGCTTAAAAGGATACAGTGCCGCTGGCATCAAATAACACATTCAGTACATATTTGGTTAAGGTTTATGGAGGCTTACTTCTTCATAAATATTTCCAGGGTGCTTGAGGATACTGTAATCAACCAGTCCTTCTGTTCCATCTCAGCCACAAAAATAATAGCTCTTTGTCAAACCATCTTTTTTTCTGAAATTGTAGGAACATGCTTTTAGCATCCATTGCAGCTAATGGAGGGCATTATATACAGTTTATTAAAGGATATTTGTTATGAAGTTTTCAAAGAAATTAATTTCCTACAATGAAACAAAATATGCAAAATGGGTACTTGTAAAATGGAAGGGTGAGATGGTCTTTGTGAGATAGGAGATAGATAAACTATGATAGATAGATAGGTAGATAGATAGATAGATAGATAGATAGATAGATAGATAGATAGATAGATAGATAGATAGAT